TAAAATCTTAAATAGAAATAGCGACATTTTCTGGGCTTCTTTGGCTTTTAGTCACTTATTAGTCAATAAAATATTTCAGGGTTATTAAACATTGATGAAATTTCAGTCTTCATTCAGTTATCTTTTCTCCACAAAAAATAATGTTGCTCTTTTAGTCTTTCCGAAGATCCTGGTAAGAAATTTAAAAATTTCTCCTTTGTATACTTTCCTGTTTCTTATCGTTCCTTTCTGAACACGTTGCCTTAAATGAGAAGATGCTTTGACAACACCAATAGGAGAACACGCAGATACTCTGACTATTTCCTTCTAAGTCAGCTCTAAAAGAGAAGCTTTGTGTGAGAAGACCCTCTAGAGCTTTCTGGAGCTTCTTGTTTCTGGTAACCTCTTATCTTTTGCATTCACGATCTTGTCATACAGTCTCCTGTTATTTCCCGAGTCTTCTCCACGTTTCTGGGCAGCTGGTTCTCACTGCTCAGTTTCTATTTCAGGCACAGCCTCCTCTTCTTGTAGAAGATCTACACTGAGCCCAGACAGTGCTCCCAGTGAGACTTGGAGGATTTATTTTATTTATTATTTTTATGTGTACGAGTGTATTGCCTGCACGTATGTAAATGCAGTCATGTCATGCAAAGCCTGCAGAGGTCATAAGGGGGTATTGGATTCCTCTGGAACTGGAGTTACAGACCGTTGTTAGTTACCATGTGGGTCTTCTGCAAGAGCAGTCAGTGCTCTTAATCTCTGAGCCATCTCTCCATCCCCAGAAATCTTTTATCAAGTTAGCAATTCTCTGTTTTTGCAATGATTCTTCTTTCTTTCTCTCTCTCTCTCTTTCTTTCTTTCTTTCTTTCTTTCTTTCTTTCTTTCTTTCTTTCTTTCTTTCTTTCTCCTCTCTCTTCTGTCTCTGTCTGTCTGTCTGTCTGTCTGTATGTCTGTCTCTGACAGGGTCTCCCTGTAGCCCCAGCTGACCTAGAACTCACTATGTAGACCAGGCTGGTCTCTATCTCACAGACACCTGCCTCTGCTTCCTGACTGCTGAGTGCTGGAATTAAAGGTGTGGGCTACCACACCTGGCCCACTGTTAAGTAATCTTTTGCTATCATTGTGCACAGAGAACATGAGACTATTTGGAAGGCACATTGGACTAGAAGGGTGAGGCTACTTGAGGCTGTTGGGTGGAATAGCTGACTAACTGAGGGTCTACCTGGTCTGCTGAATTAATTGTCTGGCTCCTGTAACTCTGGGCCTTTTGAATGCATATGTGATGTCCAGACCTATGACCAAGAAAGGGAAACCATAGAGGTCCTACTCTCTAGCTTACTATGAAGAATTCTCATCCCAGAGAAATGTACCATGTTTTTTAAAAACCTGGAGAGCAGAGATAGGCAAATGAGGACAAAACACTACTTTAGAGAATGAGAAATGTTCAGCTTGGAGTGGTTTCCCTGCTGTCTTTAGGACACAGATACTTAATATCCATTGTCCTCAGCACTGTGACTTTATTGTAGTGTTGAGAGCATAGGAGACATCTCTTTCAAGAACTTTTTAAAAAAATGTATTTTATTATTTTTATGTGTTTGAGTGAGTGTATTGCCTACATGCATGTAAGTGCACCCATGTCCTTGAATGCCTTCAGAGACCAGAAAAGAGCATTGGATTCCCCTGGAACTGGAGTCATGGAAGGTATTTAGCTTCTGTGTGGGTGCTGGGAACCAAGCCTGGGTCCTCCGCAAGAGCCGTCAGTGCTTTCAATCACTGAGCCATCTCTCCAGTCCCCCTTTTGACAACTTCTGACCCTCATAGAGAACCTGTTATGACTACTTCTGTCTACATTTGTGTGGATTTTTGGAAACAAGTATATCATCATAATTCAATAATGTCTATAATAAAAAAGCTGATTTAATGAACAAAATTCCTTCCTTATTTCCTCCCTCCCTCCCTCTTTTCCTTACTCCTTCCTCTGTCCCTCTATCCCTTCTTTCCTCCCTCCCTCTCTCCTTTCTCCCTCCCTCTCTCTTTCCGTTTTACTTCTCAATATACTTCTCCTTATCTGCAAAGCAGCAGGGGTGTACACCTACCTGTATGCATCCCAGGTAGCCATGTTGTGAGGCAACATGAACAGCGCTGTTGCCATCCTGGTCCACTTCATCCAGTGAGATGCCTTGTTCTTGCATGAACTGAAGAAGCCACAGAAGAATCTTCTCCTACAAATACACAAACACTTAGAATTAGCAGACTCTCATACAGAGAAGTCAAATATAAAGGCAGAAGAAAACAGTATATTAACTTGTAAGCAGTAAGTAACACCAAGCTTACCGTATCAGAAGAAAATTCCCTTTCAGTAAAAATTGAAAACCTGAGTCTGACTGAAATGAATGAAAGAGAACCACATGGAGGATTCAAAGAGCAGGAAGTTACCTTGGAAATGCTCTTGTTTTATTCTATAGAAAGAAAACCATATTCAGAGCAAGTTTGAGTATTTCATCAAAGTCATACAGCAAGAGAGATACAAAGTTTGAATTAGATTCCAGGTTTTTTGATTTTAAGTGTCTCAAAGCAATGCCTTTAGTTCTCTGTAGGCTGCCCGTAGGCTTCAAGCATTTAACACAAGGCCTTAGTCTACCAAGAAAACGGACTTCTTTTAAATAAACAACTCTTAAACCCTGCCTGCTAATCCTGAACAGCCTGCAGTCCACAGACATACAGAGTCAACACGGTAAGTTGTCAAATGTAAGATAACTTCACTGAGATAAAGCCGGCAACTTTTTTTTTTTTTCTGACCAAATGTTTGTGATGTTTGAAAGGTAAAGTTTTTCTTCTTTCATGCTAAAGGGAGGAGACCAAAGGCTCTGAACACAAATCTTGTAAAAGTAAAACCATAGAGCAAGCAGTCAGTAGTGTGTTTGCCATTTACCCAGTGAGTGTTTTGTGGTATTTTCATGCTATGATTGGCTTTGGAGAGAGCAAGGGATGCGATTTCACTGTTTTAAAAGAGAATTAAATATAAAGTGAAAAAAATGAGAGCGGTAAAAACAACAGCTTGAAGTTTAGTGGGTGGAATGTGACATTTAAAAAGATGATCATGCATTTGAAATAGCCTTGAACTTTTTTTTTTCTTAGCCTTTTAAAGGCTTTTTTCCCCCTGGTTATTTGATCAGACTGGTCATGAACTTTTATACTTTTCTGGACTAAATTTGCCTTCATCGTCTGAACTTGCCAACTAATCTGCTAAAGGAATGTTGGATAAAAACAGCTAACTCCTTTAATGTTTTACCCTTTGCTGCGAAACAGGGCACTGTTTATAAAGGTGTCTGAGACATAGGAGAAAAATTGAGTGTTTGCATCAAACTTTTTCCGAATGAGCAAGAAAGACCTATAATAACCAAGAAGAGGAAAATGGGACCGATGTCTACAACCTACCGAGGAAGTGCCTGGGAGAATAGGAAAATACCTGCTGAAAACGCAGGCAGACCTTGTAGAAAGTTAAAGGAGGGCCTCAAGGATCCCCAGAGAATGAGGTGGAGAGAGCCTGGAGGTCAAGGCTGCCAGTTAGAAATTGAAGGAAACCCTGGGAGGCTTAACTCTCTGCTTCAAAGCCAACCAGCAGAGAGTTGGAGCTGGTATTAGGACCAGAAGAGGTCATGGTTTCATGTGCTTGAGGTAATAAAATGACTTCTTTGCTTTTCCTAATTAACTAGGGTTAAAATAATTAATTACTTTTATTTGGAAACAGGTGACTGTACTATGCAATCTTAGCTTCTTAAAAACCTCAGTGAGGAGGTTGGAGAGATGACTCCAAGCTTAAGAGTACATACTTATTTTGTAGAGGACCTGAGTTCAGTTCCTAGTGCCCATGTCAGGCTTACAGTTACCTGCAACTCCAGTTCCACGGTATCTGATGGTCTTTTCTGGCCTCTATGGCTACCTGTAGTCATGTGCACATATCCACCCACATACACATAATTAAAAATAAAATAAATCCCAGCACTCGGGAGGCAGAGGCAGGCGGATCTCTGTGAGTTTAAGGCCAGCCTGGTCTACATAGTGAGTTCCAGGTCAGCTGGGGCTACTGGGACACCCTGTCTCAAAAAAGATAAAAAAATCTTAAAAGTGGTTAAAAAATATCAGTAAGTGGAAGTATGTCAGGATAGAAGAATTACAACTGGCATGCTGAAATGTACAAGTGGCGTACATGAATTTCAAGTGGCTGAAACTTAAGGAAACTCCAGGAGGGAAGACTGACCCCACAAAATGCAGAACAAGTCCTTTTCAATGGGTCCTTTCCAAGCTTGGGGTGACTTGGTTTGTTGCATGATATTAAGCCATGGACCCTTAAAACTGCATCTTGGAAGAGATTTGGGGGAACCATCCAACTCAAACATTCTCATTTCATAAATCAGAAAACTGAGAGGAATGTTTACTGATCTCTACCAGCTTCTTTCCTTAGCAAGCAAAGCTCAAAGGAATTCAAGATATTTTGAAATGTTTTCTCTGTACTGTTTTGTCATGCGAATTTTCATGTTCTTGAGACTCAACTGAATATTATAGTGGATATGCTAATTCCACCTGCACAAACACACAAAATGTTTTTTACTAAAATCATCCTGGTTTGACTTTTAGTAATGGGACTGTAGGCAATAGAATACTGCATTTTGTAAGACTAGGAATTAGTCTGGGGTGGAAGTGTGGAGAAGAACCTAGGGCCCTCGGCACAGGGCCAAATAATTTGGGCAAATAAGACACATGGTCTATATGAGAAGGAAAGAGTTGCTCTGGCTCCCGAGGGCTCTTTGGGACAGGGATCAACCTGAATGTCACAATAACCACCCCTCTTTTCTTGCAGTGGCAATAGAGATCTTATTCAATCCAGTATGTAAGTCTTATGTAAAGGAGAGACATGTTCACTTATTTAGACTAAGGTCGCTTTTGCCCAGCACCTCAAATCTAGTTTTGTGTTTTCTGTAGCACAATTTACTTTTGAATGAAACTAGATGGAAGAAGACCAGGAGAGGGGGACAGGAAATGTTAAGGGGGGACAAGGTCACATGTGATATGGAAGCAGAAAGGGGGAACTGGGGTGGGGGTGAGGAAGAGAAACAATAAAAATAAATTTTGTTTGAAAAATGCCATAATGAAACCTAACTATTTATTATTTTTATTTTATGTGTATGAGTATATTGCCTACATGTATGTAAGTGTACCTGTGCCATGCAATGCCTGCAGAGGCCAGAAGAGAGCATTGGATTTCCTTGGTACTGGAGTTACAGGAGGTTGTTAGCCACCATGTGGGTGTTAGGAATTGAACTTGGGTCCTCTGGAAGAGCAACCAGTGCTCTTAACCATTGCACCATTTCTCCATCCCCAATGAAACCTAACTCTTTGTAAGCTAATAAAAACTGAAAATAAGTAAAATGCTTTTTTAAAAAAAGCTGTGCAGTTGGCCTGTTCACTCACATCCTTTTCTGTACACCATTCAGAGGAGTACTAGCCAAAGGGACCATCTGGGGGTAAACCAGTCTGAGACAGATGTGAAGATGACTAGTTTCTCTGGCTTTCATACAAGCATATTTAACATTCATTTTCAGGGAAATTCTGCCCTGGTTCTGAGGCGCATGCCTCCGGAGATGCAGAGTTCTACAGTTAAACAGTGACTTATTTGACAAGTACTTCATTAGCAGGAGAGAGTATCTATGATCCCTTTTTCCAGCTAAGAAGGCCCTCACTAATGCATACATGTATTACGCATGCTATAACAAGGTCAACTTTCCTCTAAGCCTTTTAGTGCATTCTGATTCCCTCCCTTATCTCTCTCTTCTCATATAGGAGGAAATGTGGAAGGGAGAACATGATGTCAGATCTTCATTTCTTCCTCAGTATCGTTTTCAGAAAACATTCAGTGTAGCTACATGGATGGAGGGACTAATCTATATTACTTATTATTTGAAGAATACTTCTCCAACATAAAGGTCATCCATCCATCCATACTTGTGTGCATACATTCAACTTGTATGTATGGGTTGAGAATTTCTTTCATATACTAATTTCCTCTTCTGGTGATTTTCTGATCTTTCTGTTTTAATAATGTGTCTTATATGTTCCCTAAGGCAACATGAGTTCTTTAAAGAGGCAATTAATACATGTAATTTATGAGATTTGCTGCATGAAGTCTAATAAAAATTTAATTGAAATGTATGTCACAGTGATACCAATAAAATCTCTACAGTTTGTTGTGGAATCTTAAGGAGTCAGCTTTGTTTGTAATAATAGATCATCAAGTCTAATATGACATGAATTTTAGAAATTCATTCCAGTTTACTGAGATGTTAAAACAGAAAATAATGCCCATCAATAACTTTGTCATTGTAAGGTAAATGTAGACTAAAGATGACAGAATATGAAAAAGTCCATGTAAGAATGTATTAAGTATGTCAAAACCAAAATAATTCCTTGGGAAGCATCTTTTTCTTTACTTATAATGAAATAGTAATACTGAAAGCAACAAAACAACTGGACTATATCCAGTTGCCCCAGAAGCCAACATTTACTCATGCTGGGCTGGGTAGTGTGCTTTTCCTCATTAAGTTCTCGAAACAACACTATGAGGAAAGTTCACTTGTCCTGTCTTATAGAGACACCAGAGATCGTCTGTTTTCTTTGCTCGTCTTGTTTTGCATTTTCTTTTCTTTCTTAATGAATGAATTCAAAGTCATCAAAGGCAGGGTTAAACCTCAGACTCCTTGGGTTAGGGCTCAGTGTTTTATGACTCTGTTTTCCATCTTTTGAGCATGGATGCCCAGAACTATTGGTTTCCCCAAGACTCCTGATTCTAAATGGCATACTCCTTTAGTGACCCTCGGGTCAGAGAAATCAGGGTTAACTGTCAGTCTGTGGTCTCTGGGTTAGCTGTTCCTTTTCAAGATCAGGACTTGGTGTGTAGATCCATGCTCATGATACTCAGAGGTCTGTCTGCCAACTGCGGTGGTGTACATCTGTAATCCCAGCTCTTAGGAGGCTGAGATGTGGGGATCCCAAGTTCTTAGTTAGCCTATGCTAAAGTGCAAGACTCTATCATATCCCCTCCCCAAAACCTTAACAAAAGCAAAACAGAAAATGATGTTAAAACTTTTTTTCCACCTCTAATAATAGCGCTTTCAGGTTGTTTACTTATTTACATTCCAGACTGTGAAACAGTCAATGAAACAAAGTCCGGGAGGAATATTTGTCATTTTAAAGTGAACAGCAACAGAGCCTATAGAAGTATCTCCCTCGCCAGCATGCCAGGTGTTGCCTATGACCACTCACACGAAGTTGTGAGCCTTATTTCAAAAGCGTCCTTAACAAAATCACCTATCAGGACCAAAATTTAAAATAAAGAATAAACACAGGGCAGGACATGTGCTCAGTGTTATGATGTAAGTAGTTTTTGCGGAGCAATGTCTTGACTAAAAGGTCCACGAGAGACCTAGAAACGAGAAATCACAGATTTGATGCTGAATACCACACTGGGCCCACTGGGCCAAGTACCATTGGACCAAGTACCATGGCAAGACTGACACCACCCTCTGTTTCTACCCCACAGCAGCTGCATGAGCTGCTGAGAGAGCCTGGGCACAGCAACCTGAATTTTCATGTTTGAATAAAACAGCCCAGTCTCACAGGCAGTGGCTTTGAATTAACACAGTTCTGTCTCAACTGTTTTGCGAGCAGCTATCCTCTCCCAAGAGGCAAAGCAGGCCTATCCAAGGACACCTTGGGCTTGTTCCTTCAGTTTCCCCAAGGCTTTCACCTTCATGCTCTCCATGGCTAGCTCTGCTAGGTACAACCAGGCAATGAAATAATTGCACCCTCTGAGATTTCAAGTGTCAAGATGAGGAAAATCAATTCCTATCACCCAAAGATCTATCACTCCAGGAGTTCACTAAAAACTGCTGGCTACCCTGTGGTACTGGAGTCTTTAAAGGTATTTTTTTTTACAAGAAAAAGGACACAAATTGGGAGTCAAGTGGAGCCTGATTTTTAAGAATCTATAAGAGGGACAGAGGGCATGCAAAGTAAACCAAGAGGAATTTTCCTTGGTACTATCCTTAACAGAGGTGTTTACTGAAGAAACAAACCAGGATGTACACAAGTGCCTGCTTGATGGAGAAAAACCTGCATGTGCTGAATCCATTAGAAAACTGCTCAATAACAGTCTTCCTTGTGAAAATATTAGCCTTGTAATGGTTCCAAGCTCAGCCGCTCTGCAGGTTATCTGTTACATAAATGGCTGTGGCGGATGTAGGGTACTGGACAGGGTTTCTGTGTTTTCCACTGGGGTAGAATGTTCTCTGACAGGTACTGTTGGACTCCCCCCTCCCCGCAAAGCTGTATTTTATGTCATAAAACTGCGTATCAGCTTGAAAACCTCAGGGTTGATTTGAGCATGAAGCGAATGCTTGAGAGAGCTCTTCATCTGGGTCACCGCTTTCCCTACTCCCCTAGATTTCAGCGTCTCTCACAGCCAGTCCCACAAGGGGCACTTTCTTTTGTTCCATTCCAACAGCTTAAAAATGATGAGGAACATGCTGTGAGAGTAAAGAAACTGGCATATCTAACTGACATTTCCCCAGACAAAAGAATGCTGAGTGCCCAATCATTTATTGAGAGTCTCGGAATAGGTCTGTGACACTTTCTTTCCCTTTCCTGTAGCCAGCTCTGCTACCAGTGTGGGCAGACTTTTCATAAATACCCCAAAGACCTAATTAGGCTTTGAGTAAGCAAATGAAATCAGGGACATGAAGTCATTGATCACTAATTTAATTTAGTCCACACCAAAAATGATTTATGAAGATTAGTAGTGATCAAATATTTGTGATATTTTGAAAAGCTTCTACTTCCCTCTTTCCAGGAAAAGCACAAAAGCGCATTCTTAGCAAATGTCTAGAAGTTGTCATTGATTGTTTTTGGGACACTGGGTGGGGAGGAGAAAGTACAATGCACAAAAAATGGTTCAATGCTGGTGTTTTAAGGATAGTGACTTGTAAAATTTTCAGTGCTCTTCCTACTCCATTTCTCATTTCATACACCGAGGAACTCTGAATATCATATAAAATTACAAAAAATCAACTTCTGCTATAACAATGACCTTATAATAATCTATCCAAGTTATCTGTACAAATAGGGACAAAACAGAATCCGCCCCTGAAGGCACAGGACCTACGTTGAAATCTAGCCTTTTCTCCTAATAGTCATTGGAGCATATGTAAGCCATTCCATCAACTTTCCATCAGTCTCTTCATCTATAGAATAAGATCTTATAGTATTGTTTTGAGGGTCAGATATGCATAAAACCCAGTGGCATGGAGCCTGGTAGATGAAGGAAATGCATGTGTGTGTGTGTGTGTGTGTGTGTGTGTGTGTGCTTCACTTACATCATTTGAAACATGCATTGTATAAATTATCAGCTAGTATGAGTCTCACTAAAGACTTGTTAGGCCAGCCACAATGGCACACACCCCTGATCCCAATACTCAGGAGACAGAGGTAGGAGGATCATGAGTTTGAATCCATACTGCAGTCAGTTCCAGCGCAGCCTAGGCTACACAGGGTGACCCTGCCTCCAAAAGCAAAGAGGCAAGTAATAACAAAAAGGGGAGAAAGTCTGTGATAATAGTTTTCAGCCATGTGGATTGTCATGCTCAAAAAAAGCAGAGTCTCTTATTGGCAATGCCACAATTTATTGCGCTGGGAAAATCTATGAAGCCAAAGTGGGTATGGTTGGATGCAAGAGAAGCAATTTTCTTCACCACACATTCGACTAAATCTATTTTAATACTGTGCTGACTTCTTTACTTTTTAAGACTGAGATTGACATTTTGTGGTTTCAGTGTTTTTGAAAGATAATTTATAATCACCCCCCTCAAAGGGAGGTAGGGATTTAATGTAGGATTGTCATCTTTGTACATCAGTTATTAGTGTTGGATTTTTAAATGTAGAAATTGAATGTTTTATTTGTTATCCGTGTGTGCGTGTGTGTGTGCGTATTCACAGAGGCCAGGGGCAGCTCTGTGGAGTCCGCCCTCTCCTTCCACCTTCACATGGGTTCTGGGGATCAAACTCAGGTCCTGAGGATGGTGCAGCGATTGTTTTAACCCAACGAGTCACCTCAGAAGCCCCTAATGTAGAAGTGAGTTTTAAGAATCTTCTAGTTAGCATGCTTGCTTATCTTTGCTCTACTGAGACTTCCTTATTAATGTCTTATAAAGATAAGCTTTTATGCTTTGGCTTCAATAAATTATATCATTTTTCTTTTTGATAAATATTAAAAATATTCATTATAAACAACTGAAAAATGCTGAAAAAAATGAGAAAGTGGGGCTTGGAGAAATAACTCAGCAGTTTAGAGCATTGACTGCTCTTGCTGACGACCAGGGTTCAAATCCCAGCACCCGCAGGGTGGTTAACAACCACCCATAACTCCAGTACCAGGGGATCTGACACCCTCTTCTGTCCTCTGCAGGCATTGCATGACAGGGGTGCACTTACATATATGCAGGCAACACACTCATAGGATAAAAATAAATAAATAAAAGATAAAAAAATAAGCTAAAAATAAATAAATAAAATTTTAAATGAGAAAGCTACTTGTAATCCCACCGTGCACAATGATTACAAACACACTGTATCATAGTTTTTCCTAGTCTTATTTTCTTTCTTTCTGTCTACAAATTTAAAGCTGGTGCCAATTTACAGTGCTGGTTTTATGTCAAATATTTTATTAGCATTCTGGAATTAGCACTTTTGCATACAAGTCTACCATGTGAATTCATTATTTAGATACTTCCAGTATCTTGCCTTGAGATATTTAGGTTGTTTAAAGCATTTATTCATGCTGGGCATGGTGGCACATGCCTTTAATCTCAGCACTTGGGAGGCAGAGGCAGGTGGATCTCTGTGAGTTCAAGGCCAACCTGGTCTACATAGTGAGTTCCAGGCGAGCTGGGGCTATAGAGAAACCCTGTCTCAAAAAGACAAAAACAAAAACAAAAAAAACAAAAACCAAAAAAACACACTTTTTCATTAAGAAATATGGTAAATATCATTGTTTATGGCATCTTTGGATAGATATTTCATGATTTTGTGTTTGAAACTTGATGAACTAATAATAAAAAAAATAGTAGACATACAGGGGAAAATACTTAAAAAAAAGTCTCTGTACCTGTCCATAGCAACCTGCATAATGAATAAGGCTTGGGAAGTCCTTGGAACAACTCAACTCTGCAATGGCTTCTGTTTCACTCACCATCCAGCGTACACATTCCAACTGACCATTCTAGATTTAAAAAAGACAGGAAGAGAAAGAAATTCAAGATTACTCAGGTTTGGAAAACATCACAAAGATGATAATGTTACCATGGGAAGATAAATGAAATGTGACTTTCCTATCTGGCTTATCCTTACTACAATACAAAGATATGATCTGCTATATTTGCGATTTGTGGTTCTGGCTTTAAATCAGTTGCAGAATTTTTACTTGAGTGCATCTTTATAATTTTAGTCAGTTATCTATTTAAAATTCATTCTGTTGGGCTGGGGGTATAGCTTAGTGGTAGAGTACTCACCTAGTGTATCCAAGGCTTGAGTTGTTCCCTAGCACTGTAAATTAATGAATGGATGAATAAATGAATAAACTTAACTTTATTGAGGTATAATTTGCATATGGAAAATATATTTGTTAGTGTATAGTTTGCTTAATTTTGAATACATATACACTGATAATTACAACTCTAATCAGATTAACAATATTTTCAACACTCCCCAAATTTTCTAGCACTACTTTGCTCTCATTCTCATCTGTCATCATAGAGTAGGATGTCTCTTTTTTGCATCTGGATTTTTTCACTTAGCACAATAGTCTGACAGCTGAGCTGCTGGTTGTATCTGTAGCTTATTCCTTTTTTACTGCTGAGAAGTATTCCTCTGTACAGCTGTGACACAAATCCTTTATCTTACAGTCCATTGTAGACATTTGGGCTGTTTCCATTTGGAGTATATTTTGAATAAAATTACTATAAATATGTTTTGATTTCTCTTTGACAGATACCTAGAACTAGAATTTCCAGGTGGCATGGTAGGTGTATATTGGCCTTATGGAAAGTTGTCAAATGGTCTTTGAAGTGGTTAATAACATCCTATGACCCCTTGTGGCATGTGAGCATCCTAGTTGTTCCAGATCCAAGCTGACACACAGTACTGCTAGTCATCAGCATCCTTCACTAAAAGTTTGAAGATAAAACATCTGTTTTCCAAAGGAAACAGTATTGTATTTATTCATGAAAAAGTTACAAATTCACATTTGAAATAATAATGTTAGTTAAGCAACCCTGGTAAATATTTTAATTAGTAAGATATTAAGAAGTTTAAATTTTTAAAAAAATATTTTATTCACTATTTTTATTTTATATGTATGAGTGTATTGCCTGCGTGTATGTGAGTGTACCCGTGTCATGCAATGCTGTGGAGGTCAGAAGAGGGCTTCAATTCCCCTGGAACTGGAGTTAAGGACGGTTTTGTAGCCACCATGTAGGTACTGGGAATCGAACCTGGGTCCTCTGCAAGAGCAGTCAGTGCTCTTAACCGCTGAGCCATCTCTCTAGCCCCGATATTAAGAAATTTAAAAAAGGGAAAATATTCTGACGAAAGAATCATTGGTTATTTGTAAGTGGTAAAATGATGTCACAGAAGGCTGAAACATATACTTTTTGGGAAACCGAAATTTATTCCTAGTTCTGATGAAGGGTAGAGAAACAGAAGTAGATAGGAGAACTGAAAAAAAGTTCTTGAAGTTTTGTGTGGATTTTGCTTTATAAAGTCAGAAATTATTCTTATTAAAAATTTTAAACTCCTTCATCTTCAGTCATCATTGGGTTTTTACTCTCAGCCACTGTGAGTTTCAGAAAGTGATTAAGATGTATAAATAGTTAAAATACAGCCCATGCTTATCTGGGGAAGATTTGCATTACCTTCTACAGAGTAGGGTAATTGGCTTATCCTAATGATTGAGCCCTAGATAGAGTCTAGAATGGGTTGAAATCCTCACTCCATTACTCAGTCATAAGACCTAGGATAAGCTACTTTGCCTCTGGTAGATGCATCTGTCTCACATGTGAAACAGAAAACAGGAGCCACTGTTCTAATATTGGAAAGATGAAATGAGATATAGTGCTTAAGCTTGCTGAGCATAGCACCGTTGCTATTTTCTAATACTAGAACACTCTCTTGGATTCTCTTAGTAAGTCTGTAAGACAAATGAGGCATTTAATTGCCTTCCTAATTTGCATAGTGTGGGGTGTCAGCTCAGAAAGAATTTCTGTGGGCATGGAGCCAAGGAAGGATTAAAAATGAGCAGCATTTGATCTAGTATAATAGGATTATTTTCTCGCTATTTTAGAATCTTCTCAAGGTGAAAAAGTCTTTTCTGAGAGGAACACAGAGGAGACAATCTGCTCATCTTTTATCTTCTCCTATTTAAATAACAGGATTTCAACTTGGCAATTCCCAGCTATTACAGCAGACACTCTATTCTCTCCTTTGTAGGTACAGTGACTCCAAAAAATCCTAATTACACTTGATGGTAAACAACTACTCTACTAGTTTCTATATTCACTGTACTATGCTATGTTTCATTCTTTTAGTATGTACTCCTAATCATGACAGTTCTAAAACAGAATTATGTGTTATGTCAGTATCACGCACATGCATTTCATGTTCACTGTCCCTCAACTGCATTGGGGCCACAGTGCACGATTTATATCATATTTATGTTAATATACTGTGGTGTTTTCACAAAAACAGAATCACCTAACAACACATGTCAGAATATATCCTTATCATTAAGTGACACAGTCCTATTCCTATCCTATTCCTGGAGCATGCCCAGGTATATGCTCCTGTTTTCTGTTTTTGTGTTCCTTGCTGGCCTGGAAGCGGGTCTGTTTGGGCTGGCTGTCGGGCACTCTGGCTTCTGGCTGGGTTTCACTGAAGCAGATCAGTGGCAGGTGACCAGGAAAGGAGAGATAGTTTGAGGTCCTCTCTGCTCTTGGCTGTCCTGCTATGGGGTTGTCATTGGCCTGATGATTTCCTCCAGTAGTTACTGTCAAAGTCAGTCCTCTCTGCTCAGCCCTCTCTTTCTGGTTCTTAGAACCATTCATTTCCCAGACTGCCAGGCTGTAGGCAGACTGTGCCCCGGCTGCTGCTGACCCTGGGTATGGCACTTTCCATCTGGACTCCCTCCACCTCATCCCATCTAATTTATGTGTGACCCCTTCCTCATGGTATTTATTTTAAAAATACTATGTGAGCATCCCAGATGCTGCTATTAGAATGAGAACCAATGAACTCCATTACATATTTGTTTCATTTTCTGAGTTTAGAAAAGAATAGGAGCCATCTTGATCATATATGGAGCATAAATTGGTATTTACACAGAACACAGAAGTGTGAGACAATGCTTCTCTCTCTCTCTCTCTCTCTCTCTCTCTCTCTCTCGTTAGTCTAACTTCTTACTTTTTCATAGAAAAAATTTAGCCTTGTTGATTTTCTCTACTAGTTTCTCTACTAGTTCATTTATTTCCACTGTAAGTCTTGTTTCTTCCTTTCTTTTTGCTTGCTTTGGATTAAGTTTGCCCTTTTTTTTTCTTTTTTTCTCTTTTGTCTTTTTGAGACAGGGTCTCCCTGTAGCCCCAGCTGGCCTGGAACTCACTATGGAGACCAGGCTGGCCTCGAACTCACAGAGATCTGCCTGCCTCTGTCTCCTGAGAGCTGGGATTAAAGGTCGGCACCACCACCCCTGGCCTCTTTTTCTTTTTCTTTTTTTAAATTTATTTTTCTATATTCTTTTGTTTTATGTGTTTGAGTGTATTGTCTGCATATATGTAAGTGCACCCATGTCGTACGATGTGCATGGAGGGAAGAAGAGGCTGTCGGATCCCCTGGAACTCGAGTCAGGGTTGGTTGTTAGCTAACATGTGGGTGCTGGGATTCAAACTTGGGTCCTCTGCAAGAGCAGTGAGTGCTCTTAATCACTGAGTCTTCTCTCTGGCTCCTCTGCTTATTTTCTGGCTCCTAAGGTGTCTATTTATTTGCGACTTTTCTCTCTGCCCACCTCCTTTACACATCTCACTCTCGGCACTGCTGAAGTTGCTTCCTGTAAAGTGTTGGTTTGCTGTACTTTCATTTATCTTCATTTATTAATTTATGATTTCTTCTCTGACATATTGACCAAGTTAGAATTGGATTAGTTTCACATACCTGTGAATATTATGAGTTTCTTATTATTAGTTTCTAATTACATTTTAGCATGGGTGAAGTACATATGTTTGTTTTTCAGTCATTCAGAATTCACTGAGATTTATTTATTTAATATTTTTATTTATTTTTATTTTTTATATGTATGAGTAGATTGCCTGCATGCATGTAAGTGCAGCTGTGTCATGCAATGCCCACAGAGGTCAGAAGAAGGAGTCGGATCCCCTGTAACTGGAGTTATGGATGGTTGTCAGCTGTCATAGGGGTGTTGGGAATCAAACTCGGGTCCTCTGCAAGAACAGTCAGTGCTCTTAACCACTGAGCCATCTTTTCAGCCCCAAGATTTATTTCATATGCTCTACCTTGGATACTGTTCTCTGTGCACTTAAAAGTAAGTGCATTCTGGTGTTGCAAGAGACAGTTCTTTTAGATGAATTTTAGGTCTAGTGACTTGAAGGGGCAATATCTAAATAAATAAAACACTATTCAAAGAGCAGAATGAGATAGGTCACTACTATGAGTTTGAAAATAAAATCACTTGCCTTAAATGTAAGTAACAGTAACATAAACAATAACAAAAATATTATCTAATTCCAGCAGGCCACATCTGCCTGCCTAAGTATGTCCAGAGACTGCCTAAGTCCAGGCTTGGAATAATTTGTACGTTAAAAAAATTTATCAGTTAAGGTGTGTGTGAAGTCATGTTCACACCAGACCAACACTTTGCCTTTGGGCTTAATTAGAATTACCAAAGGAGAAATTTAAAAAAGAAATTTAGTTTATTTCACTCCACATTTTTTAGTGTCTGAAAGAATTTCTTCTGGTCCCAGTTTTGGAAGCAGACTGTTTTAGAAATCAGACCTTTTTGAAATTGTTCTTCCCAGTTATGTCACTTAGCCATTTCCAGGAGGCATAAACTTCCAAAGCGCCACTCAGATTCCCCCAGAAAACATCCAATACAGTCTGCATGGAGTAGACACAGTTTACTATGTTCCATTTAAGGAGTCTGTGCTGGTATGACTTTAAAGCCCTTTTCTCAGATCATTTTTTTTTAAATTTAATTTTGTATCTCTGGCTGCTAGGGCACATTATGCAAGAAAATTTGTCTTTAATGATGCGCAGTAGGGCTCTTAATTTTTTTTTTGTGTGTGTGTTGAGACAGGGTCTCCCTGTATCTCTAGCTGGCCTGGAATTCTCTATGTAGACCAGGCTGGCCTCGATCTCACAGAGATCTGACTGCCTCTGCCTCCTGAGTGCTGGGATCAAAGGCGTGTGCCATCATGCCTAGCTAGAACTGTGTTATTTGGTTTTTTTCTGAAGATTAATTTATTTGTATGTGTATGTACATGCACATGCATGCAGATGCCCTCAAAGGACAGAAAAGGTGTCAGATCCCCTGCAGCTGGAGTTACAGGCAGTTGTGGGCTGCTTCATATGGGTGCTGGGGACCTCTGTAAGAGCAGCAAAGAGTTATCTCTTCAGTGTCCCTCTGAGAACTGTTTTAGTGAATCAATGAGGTGAAACTATCAATTTTCTCTGGTGTTCAGAACAATGGTGATTTTGTAGGACTCTCTCGGAGGACACGTATCAGGACACAGCTCTGAAGAAGGTAGCATTTGTTGAGATATTTGTACTTACTGCTTTTTGTCAGTTCAGATTAGATGATGGAATAGCACACTCGCATTTCTCAAGTCATTGTTGAGAAGCAAAGTAAGAGAAGCCCAAGACTGTAGACTGCTTGTGCCATATGGGTTTTGTATGTGTATGTGATTCAAATTAAAACAAAAATGGCTGGGTTAAAAGATTGCCCGATGATAGCAATGCTGTGATGACTGCAATTAAGAAGCAATTAATACCTCATATGCAGATAGCATAGGAACCATTTATACTGGGGCTTGGCTGGATGACAACCAAGCTTTTTAGGAATCTTCACACTCCAAAATTTTTAATTTATCAAAACAAGCTGTAAGTCATGTAAATTAAGAAAACATGGTTTCATCCAACTGTATAATGGGAAATATTCAACCATCTACCATTAATCAAAAAAAAAAAGAATGAGAACCATGTTCTATAAACACTAAAACATAATATATAAAACTGTATTCCATAAACACCGAAACACTATAAACATGACAGGTGTCAATATTCATTGCATTGTCAGGATGTTTTGTCAGTGACACGTGCTCATCTGTGATGACATTCTACCCATGTTGTCTCTATGGACTTTATCACAGAGCTTGATCCTGAATTTGTCATCCTGTTCATGTCACTTATCACTAAGGCACCTGCCTTACTGACCAGGCTGTCCATTCCTAGAATAGGTACTATGTCTCACTCAAATTTTTATTGCCAGCACCCAATAACACAGTTATTTGTTGGCTTTGGTACACAATGAATTCAAGTGTACTGAGCTTTGACTTCACATTCAGTTTCTCCTTCATTCTGGCTGCTGTAAGTTCAGTTCTTGATCTGACAAGGCATCATTCACAACCAACAAAAAATTGTCTTGCAGCACCACAGATTTCTTTATAACAAATTATCTATTATGCTATTTTAAAGTCATATTTTACCAATGGGAAGAATTAAGTAAAATAGAACATATTTTTAACATATGAAATGTTACTGACTGGTAAATGAATTGAAATAAAAATTCAGCTTTGCATAGAAGATATTTTAGGAGTAGGAAAGTAATTGTTTTTAAATGCAACATGTTTAGTGAATTCACAAGTAGGTTTCTTTAGCTAATCTATTTCCTTATTCAATATCTATATAATTCCATGTATAAAATTATGATTATTCAGCTTTTAGAAAACACACCTATTATATAAAGGAAAGTATTTATGAAGAAGTATAAGATGTTTATCTCTGAACTTCACTTCTAGCTTTTCAATAAATATGACTGAATTCTACATTTATCTGCCAAAGGTCTTCAAAGTAATTTTAGCTTAATAGCTAACCTTCTAGTGATGTGTTCAGAGGCCCTCACTGTGGTGCTGTAAAAGCTCATGATTTCTTGTATCCTGGTCTAAGTTTTAACTCTACTCTAGTTGGCATTAATTTGTGTACTGCTTGACAGATAACACATTGTGCTCTGGAATAGCTAAATGCAAAATCCACATTGATGTAAACAGTTCTGATACTGAAGACATTTAAGCTCAGATTTGGTCTGTTAAAAGCCAACTTTATTGTTAGAAATACTCCTGAGTGCTAGCCTCCCTTAAAAACACATCTTTTTCTAATTTGTCTGGCTCATTATTCTCACAATAGGAAAAAATGACTCTGTCTCTGAGAGATCCAGGTGTGGGAAGAATCAAAATTGTAGTCACTATGAATAACAAAGTTCTCAGCACTGCAAGGGTCATTTTTGTTTCTCTTTGGGGGTGATTTGGAGAGTGCCCTTTCTAAATAATAAACGAATGCCACCAAAATTTCAAAGTGCTAGTGACTGCGATGATTCGTTTCTTATGTGTAACATGTTCATTTGCTGTTTGTTTGATAAATCACGCTCTTCTCCCCCATTCCAACACTTTAGCGCACAAGAAATCTTAACAAATAGATATCCAAGTAGAAATCTGGGAAGACCTCAGCCCCCAATCAGTCACCTTGATGGCCAGGCCTGCTGGAGTCAGTTTCTCTGTGTTTCGTTCACTGAGGCAATCTTCTCCCATCAAAGACGTGAGGTGCTGCAGACATTCTGTGTGCCCCTGCGATGCAGCAATGTGCAACAGATTGTTTCCATTCTCATCGTGAATTTTGTCTAGATTGTCAGCGGCTAAGTGTGGCTGTACAAAGAACAGGATTAGAAAGCTTCAGTCAGTAAGTTTGAATAAGACTCTATGGACGTTTTCTCTGAGTACAGGGAAGCAGTAAAACAGTGCATGGAATCTCTCTGGTGTGGTGCAGGGAGCTAGCTAGTCAGAGTTCTTGCTACTATACTTTGTCACCATATGCTTTAGAACATGAGTTCTCAAGGGGAACATGAGGCAGGGCCACAGGGCTTAGACCTATGAGTAGCAAAGGCTGCCAGTTGGTTTTCTAGGCACTTGCAGTGATATTTATGGTAACTAGCAGCCTCTCTGTCTCTGCCCCTAGACTGCTAAGGATTTGAGGGATGGGGCTATGTTTTATTTCCTGCTGTAGGTTTGTTGAATGAAGGACTTGTTTCGAGTGTTTGCTAGAATTGTTGAGAACTGGCTCTCACAGGCAGCATGCTGCCTGATGACGCCACTATGGGTGCTCTCGTGGGTACCACTAGACGCTTTCAACCCCTGACAACTGGGACATCCTGGGGTGACTTGGCACTTCGGTTTTTTTTTTTTTTTCTTTTTTCTTCTACCACTTGTTTGAAATTCAGTCCTCTGAGTACAAAGTGGTTGACAGAAACTGTTGGGTAATTGAGTGGTGTCAGCATTTGGGACATCTGAAAACATGAGACAAACAAAGGAAAGGAATGAACCAAGAAAAGCCAGAGGAAAGAGTGCAAAATACATTTTTAAGAGAAAAATGTTACTACTTTATTTGGTCAAGTTGTTCAATTGCATCGTCCTCTTAAAACTGCAATTGTGACACTCAGCCAAGCTCATTGTGCTCGATGGACGCATGGCTTTACACTGTGTGGAGCAGCATGGCCAAGCGCAGTGGGTGTTTGAATGAGATTTTAATTATCATTATAGTGTGAGCCCAGGCTTGCTTCTGTTTGATTGGTATCTGGAAGCTAGAAAGAAACAAGCAGGCCTGTGAAATGCTGTTTTAATTGAGCTCTCTCAGAGCTGAGCACAACAGACTTTTCTTACATCATGTTACTCCATGTCTGGAGTCTTTGGAAATGGTTCATGTTCCCTAGACATGTAGAGCTGGATCGATGTAAAAACCCCACATGGGTCAGAGGACAATCAAACTCTGGGGTAAGCTTCTATTTGCAAATGCTTTCCAAACATCTTGGTCTGACTCTTCTGAATAATGACCAGGATGAAACAGAGAACTCTCTGTTCACAGATCTGGCAGGCCTGCCGTCAGCTAAGAACTGACATCCCCCAGGAAACGGAGGGAGAGCACGTGGGACCATTTGGAAAGCAAAAAAGAAAGACATTACGATTCAACTGAAAAAGTGCTGGGCTCTCTTTGTTTCATGTTTGTTGTTTTTTTTTTTTTTTTTTTTTTTCATTTGTTTTTTTTTTTTTTTTTTTTTTGATTGAGTATCTTTATTCCAATTGAGTTCAGACAGTTACAGTGCAGTGACACTCTTTGTTAGCTGTTTTCCTTGTACTAACCTCTTATCCTTGGACCTTAAAACTTGCATCTCCCAACTGTAGTTTAAAGATTAAGCAAGAAGTGAAACAAACACTTCATTCTGTTATAAATGGAGCTGATGAAGATGGAGTCTCTAGATTAGACAGGCGGACAGACAGACAGACAGACTCACATACAATATACAATATAGACTAAACTTACCAGGAGAGATATCTGTCCTTCTTTAATGATGTTCAGTATGCTTCTTACTTTTTTCACATCCTCACTCCTTCCTTCTGGGCCTTGGCCGCTACTGATCCAGTTCATACCACTGACCTGCTCGTCTAGTTTCGGATCTGTTGCTGAGGACTGCAGGTGGAAGGCCCTGAGCTGGCAATCTGTCACGGTCTTCTCAGTTTTTCTGCTATGCGGATCACTAAAGGCCTTGTTTAAGAAGTCTTTGCTCTGGTTCTCTGGCTCATATGCAGAACCACATTTGCTCAGAGGAGGTGAGCTCTCAGATGGTTCAGTGGAGAGCTTGTGCTGGTCCCGGAGGAGTGCTGAAGCTTTTCTTAAGTGAGGACTTTTCACAGGAGAAAGCACACAAAAGGGAGTCATGTTGGATGTGGAGTTCTCAGTGCTTCCTGTAGGGCAGGCTTTACCAGAAAGGCCATTGATGGTTGTACATAAACCCACAATTCTTTTTTCTGAAGTCACCTTGGTGAAAGAGGCCAGCTGCTGACTAGATTTAATGTAAGGCACATCCAGAATCTCATCCATGTCAAGGTCGTAATGCTCCAGTTCGCCCAGTGCCGGGCTGGGCTCAGAGCCCTTACCTGGCAAGCCCTCCACTCCATCTTCAGGACTGAGCTCCTCAGGCTGGGGGCTGGGGTCAGTCTCACCCACTTTCTCATACTCCACTGTGTGGTTCTTCTGGTCATCGTTTTCATTGTTCTCCAGAGTCTCTGGCTGATGTTTCAGTGGAGAAACCCGCTTCACTGGGCGGAACTTACTGTATACATCAGCAATTCCTGTGGGCTTTTGTGGGTTTGTAATGAGAGTTGAGACGCCACAATTCCAGCTAGAGCTAGAAACTGTGTTTTAAAACAAATTAAAAGAAGAAACTATTACATTGGAATATTGAATGCATTTTGGCTATGTAGGTAGACATGGTCCACTCAGGTCGTGCCTATAACAAGCCCTCATGTAAGGGGATGAGCTCAAGAGGACATACATACATAAAACAAACACATCATCATATTTACCACTGGAAGACAGAGAATGCTAAAAGAAAGTCATGACATACTGACTCAAAATTAATTGAAATAGCAATAGTCATAAAAACAGAAAGCTAAAGCAAAAAACTCTGACAGGTATTTAGGTTTAATACTGGGTGTCTCCAGCAGTATTTAAATATTTGCCACCACACTAAAAAACAGGATTAGAGTATGAGATCCTCTATATTAAATCAACTTCCAAACTAAGTCAGGGAACAAGAGATATATGTACATACATACACACACGTGCATGTACATGCATGCACACACCTCTACTGCTCAAGAAGTCTGTGTAAGCAAAGCGTAAGTTATCTAATCTTGCACAAACTCAAACTGTGACTTACTGTGTGACTCACTAGCTTTCCATTAGATGGTTAGGGGCAGAACAGAAAAGAATGAAGTGATTAGGAGTTGATCTGCCCATGGGTGACAATCCATGGCTGAGTTAATCCACCCCAGACTAAGTGTCCTAGTCAATCATCATGTAGAGACATCTCATGGTGCTTCCTGGCAAATGACACAATAATATGATGCATTTACATTTCACAACAGAGCAAACTCTTAAGAGTTAATGCTGTCTTCTATGCTGAGAAAGCTAGAAACAAGCTGGACCAAGGAGGAGTTATAAAGGGAGGATAGTATAAGCACGCTAGGTTTTTTTTTTTTGGTCTTTTTGATACAGGGTCTCCCTGTAGCCCCAGCTGTCCTGGAACTCACTATGTAGACCAGGCTGGCCTTGAATTCACAGAGATCTGCCTGCCTCTGCCTCCCGAGTGCTGGGATTAAAGGCGTGTGCCACCACGCCTGGCAAGCACACTAGTTTTAAAGTGTTTTTCTTTCTCTCGTTTCTTTTTTTTATATTTTATTTATTATTTTTATTTTATGTGTATGAGTGTATTGCCTGCATGTATGTAAGTGCACCAGTGTCGTGCAATCATCATGGAGGTCAGAATAGGAGGTTAGATCCCCTGGTACTGAAGTTAGGACGTTTGGAGGCCACCATGTGGATGCTGGGAATCCAACCCAGGTCCTCTGCAAGAGCAGTCAATGCTCTTAACCACTAAGCTATCTTTCCAGCCTCCTCTTTCATTTTTATGCAGTTATGACAAATATTGCATACTAGTTTGCATTGGACCAAGTGTCTGGTTGAGATGGACAGGGAAGCAGCCAGACACACTGGAGACAAAAGATAGAAACCACTACCTCTTCCAGTAAGCTTCAAAGCAAGCAAGCTGCCTATCCCAGGGTGCCTGTAGTGAGTTTCAGGGTGGGCAGATGAAGCAGTACTGTCCTACCAGACAGTCCTCTAGAAGACAGATGACTCAGGATTCTTGAAAGCTTGCAGGTCACTGATTTACAGGTTCCTAGTCTCCTGCCATCACCCATCAAACAGGTGAGGCTTCTTTGTATCTAGCCCTCTCTCTGCTGCCACCTAGCCTCTGTGGAACAGCTGCAAGTGGCAAAGGTTTAATCCTAGAGCAAGCATATCTATAGGCCTTGCTATTGGACGCATCCAAAGAGAGCGAGCATCCGAGACAGCAGGTGTGCTCAGGTCTGTACCTTTTAAAGTAGTCTCTGCTAATGACTGATCCTTAGGGTTAAAGGGATTTCTTATTCAAGTTCCCTAAATTTGGGCTACTAATCGTCGTTCCTTCTGGGATGTGTTCTAAAAGCATCTGGAGACGTTCTGGAACCAAACAAAGACATTCCAATGTGTGTCCTGAGGCTGACTGCTATAAAATTGTGAGTTCTGTCCACCAAATGGACAAAACTTGGTGTGGGGTTCAGAGGGTCTGTCTTATGCAGCCCACCCCTGAGGCTCTTCTGACTCTCACATTTTAGAACCTAAGAAAACACTACGTGTGATGGAGAGAGAGCTGGTTTCTTTTCAGTGAGCGAAGGATGCCCAGAAAGGGCATGGCCTTACACAGTGCTTGGCCTGGAGCAGACAATAAGCACAGCATGTGAATTTGAATCTCACTTTGCGGAAATCAGTCTTCAATTTTTTAACATGCACAAAGCGAATCCTTCTGAAGGATTTGCAACTTAATTTCATAGGGGACAAAAGTCCTGTCAATAAACTCAGAGGAGTGATAATTGCCAGAAAAGGCTAGATTCTTTAGTTATTTATGAAATGTAAGTTATGTAAACGCAAAGGCCAATTTCAGTTGGTTCCTTATAAATTTAGTTTTGTATTTTATGTTCTTTTCTTTCTAAAACTACGAAGCTATGAAAAAATTAATGTTTCTCAGAAATTTCTGCCAAACTATTCTCTCTTCCTTAAGAAGACATAGTGACCGACATATATATATATATATGTGTGTGTGTGTGTATGTGTGTGTGTGTGTGTGTGTGTGTGTGTGTATCAGGGAGACAGAGGACATGGAACTTATAAGGTATAATAAGCATTTAATTTTATTAAACAAATCTCTGAAAAACTGTAAATACAGTGAGAAAACATATTCCTAGACATTTCGGAGATGTAAACTTGTTGTTAGGCATGGTGTCTACCAATATTTTGTCAGTTATCCTGATTACTTTGGAACATCTAAAAAATTTGTCAGTTATCCTGATTACTCTGGAACATCTAAAAAAAGTGCATCTTAGAATGTATTAAAACATTTAAAGCTACATGATTCAGTGGGTCAATACAACGAGTGCACTGTACTGATATATTTATGTATTGTATAAGGTCATGGGTTCAAAGGGCTGCTCTTTTATGTTGGCTTTATTTACATGGGAAATTTTTTCCAAGCGATACAGGGAAATGGATACCATATGTTTCCCAGCTGTTTCTTTCTGACAGGAGCCATTAAGAACGTTCTATGTAAATGAATTTAGTCTGAGTTTTATGAAAACACTTCTTTCCATAGAAGGGTCTAGAAATGGAAGGAGCGTCAACTTTTAGGCTTGTCTTTTCCCTCATTTAAGTCTATAACTCTTTTACAGGCTTAGAGAAAAATTTGTGCCTTCTAATCTGGGTCTTCATTGCCAAGGGAAAACCTAGTTGCGAAAAATGGACTAATGAGTTTTCATGAAAATGCATCAATTTATTGCTATCCTATACCTGGAAGAGAGGAAATACATTTTTATGCTACAGACAAAAGACAAAATTCAACGAATTTATTTCTGCTAAGCTAGACAAAGATACAATATAAGAATAAAGATTATTAATGACCAGCAAGATTTATAATTCCAATTTTTGGACAGTATCAACAAATTCACTTATATTGCTGTTTTATTCCAATATTATAATAAATTTCTTATCATCCATGGAATCAAATTTCAGACTTTCTATGGCTACTATGAGGATTTTTTTAAGGATAGGTTTGCTCTCTGGAAATTAGGGACAAGTTCTTTATACAGTAATATAATTTAGATCCCTGA